CAATTTAATTGTTAAAATCATCAAATGCAAAACAATAAAAGCAACAAATATATACCTAAAGATATGTTTAGATCATCTTGTTATAAATATTTTAGTCCTATTGACTATGATACTATTTATCTTTCCCAAATAGTTAAATATAATTAGAAATTTTAATGTCATAAAATACAAAATATTCTTCAATAATATATTTATTGAATGAAATATTACTATGTTAGTGGATAGCTATCAGATAATATCTTAGGATTATAACATCAATCATTATTTATGAAATTTTGCTTATTATTTATATGTAATCATCATGGGGACCTTATTAAGTTGGTCTTTAGTTACTGTTTTAACTTTTCATTTTTTCCTCTATTTAATTACTATTATTTTAATTGAATTATGAGCTTTAAAATTATTGTTGTTCAACATTATTACGCTTAATAATCTGGGGAAAAAAACATAGTCTTGATTCTATAGTCAGAAGTGTAAAATTGTGTTTGTTTCAATATTCTGCTCATAATATAAACTGAATGTATCTTAACAGTTTTGAAATAATACAAGGAGTTGGGATTTGTTGGTCTGAAACATAGAATTGTGGTTATTTCATTATTCGGCATCTATTATTTCTTAAATTTTCTGGTTGTGTCTGTTCTTGCAATTATTTATTAATTGGAAGATGTCAAGGCTTTTAGGAATAGTCTGCTAGTTTTGGTGAACTGGAATGATCTCGACACACCTGTCAGCCTGGTGAGTCACTGTTGTAGATTTACCTAAGATTGTAAAACCTAATTAAGGATAGATACTCTTTGGTTGGGATAATAAGGCTGAAAATGGATTCCTAACCATAGAAAACTATCTAGAAGTTAGGCTCCTTTCATAACCAGAATAGGAATCACCAAGATTTATTGATGGGACTAAATCACAACAAATTTTAATCACTGAAGCATTATTCCTTCATTTTCAAGGAGTAGGTAACATTAGGAAAAATCTCTGGTAATGTTTCCCAAAATAATTATAATAAACTGATTTACCAAATAAAAGAGGAATAATATAATTTTTAAAAATTAGTGCTGTGAGTAAAAATATGTCTTTTCATTATTTGATGTTTTAGGCTCAAAACATCTAAATCATTAGCACACGTAATAAAGTTATACTACTATTAAAATATTTAGCTGGTAGTAACTGAAAGTATAAATCATAGATGGTACAACATATTATTTAAAACAATTAATTACTGTATGTTTTTCTCGTCTAATATATTCAATTTATACCTTTCTCGTCGCTAACCATTGCCTTTTATGGCTGTATATTTTAATTATAATAAATAATTAAGTGCCACAAATTCTTTTTAGAACGACAAGATTGTCAGTAAGAGGGCTGATATTCATTTATATTTCATTGTGAGTAAATTTCTTGTTTAAACACTTATATATACAAATTTTAATTTTTATATTGCTGTAATCTATACAATTAAATATTAAATAATAACAGCACTAGCATTTATGAAAACTGAATATGCATAAGTTAATAATATAGTCGCTACTCGTTCACCAAGCTTGAGGGCACTCTCGGTTTTCTTATTTTTTATATTTACTTCATGGTTGTTCATTTCCGAACCCAAATAGTTGAACCATAACTCAGATAAAACAGACCAGATGTCATTGCGAACCTATTGATACTTATAGGATCAATCATTTCACAGTGCTTAGGGTCAGTGATATGATAGCATCCAAAGTGAAAGTATCGCAGTTTAGCCAAATTATCATATCCACAAATAATGTGATAGGCCGTTTCATCCTCCAGACCACATAGCATGCAGGTGTGGGTCTCCACTTACACCAAAATTGTTAAGATGCTTATTTAATTGAACAACTAATGCAACCGGCACTTGTGCAGAGCTTTCCTAGCAAGGTAATCGGCTTTCTCATTTCCTGGAATGTCTGAGTGCCCAGGTACCCATTCTACTCTCACCTTGTTAGTACTACATAGAAGGTTAAGATTGCCTTCACATTCATCCACCAGTTTTGAGGGACTTGCATAACTATTCAGGGCCCCAATTGCTCCTTGACTATTGTTATCAATCTATTCAAAATAGATTGAATAGTTATTGGGTACATAAATCGAAGGCTAAAATCTCAGCTTGAAAAACGGACGTATATCTACCTAGAGATATGAATATTCCCTCATTAGGTTTATCCTTTCTCCAGATGCCAGCCCCTGATCCCTGTCCATTAAGGAGCCATCGGTATAACAGCGAACTCCATTACATGGTCTATGTGAGTTACTTCTGCTTATGTTCAAGTTATCTAGTATTTCTTTATAATTATCAACTTGAAGGTCAGAGTTCATCGCAAGTACCTCATTGCTATCAATCCTATCAAACACGATCCCATGGCCCTGAAACCTCAGGAATTTCTATCTCGTTCCCAGTTTATCCAATCTATAGGCAGTTCTGAGAGCATGTGCTTCCACCTCTAAATACAATGGTGTCAGATTCAAAAGAACCTCCATTGCAGTATTGGTAGTAGTGCTTATAGCTCCTGTCGTCATAAGGCATGCAAGCCTTTGAAGCTTGCCAAGCAGCATTCTAGGCCTGCTTGCACCTGCCTTATACCACTAAACTACAGTTGCATTGAGGATAATTGGTCTAATTGCAGTTCTGTATAGCTATAAGACCATGGCTTTCAGGGTTTCAGCCCCCATGATTTGCCAACAACTCTTCTGGATGCCTATAAACAGCATATAGCCTTACCACTAATCTTTTCAGTATGATTTAGCCATTTTAACTTACTATCCAAAGTAATCCCAAGATGTTTTACTTCACTACAAATATTTAATGGTGACCCATTTAATGATGATGGTCTAATGTTATTATTTCTTCTGTTAGTGAAGATACAGAGATTTATCTTCTGCGGGTTTATGCTAAGGCCATTTTCCTGGCACCATTCTTTCAGAAGTCTCATAGTATTTTTGAGCAGTTCAGACATAGTATCTGGAAACTTGCCCCCTATCAATACTGCAATATCGTCAGCGTATCTCTAAGAATAAAACCCCACCGCATTCAATTTAACAATCAGGGATTCGACGACCAAATACTATAAAAGTGGCGACAGCACACTCCCCTGTGGACACCCTCCAACAGGTTTAAATCGCAGAACAGATTGTCCCAACTCTGATTTAAGGACTCTCCCCATCAGAACCGAATTAATCCATCCTGAAGCCAAGAGTTCGACCCCTCTACTTTCAATGCTCTAGCCATTGTGTTATATGGGGTACGATCAAAGGCACCTTCAATATCAACAAAGATACCTGCCATAATCTCTTTCTGCGATAAGCTTTTCTCGATTCTAGAGACTATATAATGCATCCTGTCTCACAGGATTTGCCGGCTTGTTAGGCAAATTGGGCACAGTCTAGCGGTCTTTCTATTAATGTAGAGTCCTTAATGTGTCTATCCATAATCTTTTCCAATGCCTTCAACAGAAAAGAAGTCAGACATTTAGGTCTTTATGCTTTGGGATTGTCATAAGACTCTTTCCCAGGCTTAGGTAAATAGCAAACTCTTGCTTCCCTCCACTTATTAGTGACATATGACAAAGCTAAACTACCTCTAAATAACTCCAAGAGATAAAAATTTAATTACAGGTAAGCCCTTTTGTAGCAGGGCTGGGAAAATTCCATCAGTACCAGCTGATTTGAACGGTGCGAAAGAATTAATTGCCCATTCAATTCTTTTGGTTTCAACCCACTTGTCTTTGCCACAGATGTAGCTATCCATAGTGGGATTAACTATATACTCATCAAGCATTTGGCAGCCAGGGAAATGAACACTCTCCAGGGTATACTCTCCAGAATAGGTGTTACCTCCATCAACCCTGACTGTGCCAATGACCGAGCCATCTGTTTGCTTTGACAAGATTTTGTGGACTCTGAGCGTGAATGATGTGTTATTAATGTCACTTCAAAAGTTTCTCCACGCCCCCCTTTTTGCCCTACGTACAGCCTTATTGTATTCAGTTAGGGCATGCTTATAGGTATCCCATCTGTCCGTACTCTTGGCAGCATTAAAGAGTTTTCTAGTTGAGGCTCTTAGCTTGCCAAGTTCGTAGTTCCACCATGAAACATTCCTGTTGGATCTGACGCAACTAACATTATTATTGTTAGTGTAAGACCTCATATAATGAATTGAGGCATTCCAAATGCCAAGAATTCCTAATGATCTTAGGACGGCATTTGACTTCTTCCGTTAACTGTATACAGTATCTCTCCCAATTTTTATGTTTTGAGTTCCTGTATACAGACTTAGTCACATTATATCCAAACAAGTCAATCTGATATAACAGTGATCAGAGCATGATTCTTCACTAGAAACATGCCATCCTCTTATCCTAGAACTCAAGCAACACATGCCTAATGTTATGTCTATTACTTCCTAGCAGATTCTATTAACTTAGGTGGCAACATTGCCCTTACTTAGAATCTCAATATCGAAGCTACTTAAATACTCTAAAAGAGACTCACCTCTCTGGTTGTTCTTAGAACTTACCCAGATCCTATGGTGAGCATTGGCATCCAGTCCTGCTATCACTGCTTCTTTTCCCCTAAACTTCTGAGAACCGCTGTAGGGATGTTCTCTTCGTTTGAAAGATACCCTGACACCACTATGATCCTCTCACCATCCTTACCCTCAGAAAGGGCTAGTTGAGCTGTTGCCAGGTCTCTGAAACAATATCACAGAGGCATCAGCTTAATTCTATTCTTGAACAGGATGCAGGTTCTCGGGCACTGCAATAATTCTATACCCAGTCATGTCCAACCCCCTAATCCTGCTCTTGAACAGGTAAGGTTCTTTAATCAATACAATATCAATATCCTTACCTCTAATGTACTGCTGAAGCACGCCACAAGCTGTCACGCAGTGATGGAGATTCACCGTTATGGAGAACAGTTTAACCATCATTAAAGGGAGCCCACCCTCCATCGGGGTCCAAGGGGGTACATCCGTCCCGATTTCATGTTTCTCGGGTCCAGAGACCCCTCTCCCCCCCCACATCCAACGGAGATAAACCCTCCTGAGCTGGCTCAGACATTATTACAATTCCACTAGTGGAAGCAGAAGTTCTCCCTACCTCCTCTACCTGAGGAACGTTTAAAGAAGCATTACCCACCTTTGCGGTCTGTGCACTAGGTTTGGGCGCCTTCTTCTCAAACACCTTAAGTGCAACTTTGGCCATGCCATATGTCACCATAATGTTTCTGCCCTCAAGGTGTTTGATTCTTGTTTCAGTGATTCAAAGGATTCCGCAGAGTCCATTCGTCTCCTCCTTAGTTCCCAACACCTGTCAACTGTCAATGTCCGGGATCCTACCATTTTGAATCCAGAGTCTCCTAATGAGTAGCTCCTCTGAGATTTTTTCCCCAGGGAATTATGCCCCTACCCTGACAGCTTTCTTGAGCTCCTCAACATTATCAGCACGGAGTTAAATACCTTCACTGATAGTGAAGCTCTCCACTACACATCAATCTAAAAAATCAAAGCTTTGGTGACTTGATCATCCCAAACGATGATACATCCCACCAAATAGTGGCTGAAGCCACTAAACCCAGGAATGATGCCACCAAACTCCAGCCGATCAACAGATTTGATCACCTGGGCTTTTACTTCTTCGCTCTTCTACTTGGAAAGCTGTACAGTCCACAAGGGATAATTGCCAGCCTACTGCCCCCAGCCGCTAGAGCATAGGAAATTGTACCAGCCTCGCCGCTTCAGGCCCTTTTCGCCACAGGCGTCAAGTTCCCTGGCCAGGACCTGTTGTGCTCCGTGACTGGCCCAGGCTCTTACCGGAGCTGCTGTAACCGGTAGCTCAGTCTCATACTTTGCCTTGAGCCTCTTCATCCTTTTATATTCTCTTCTCTGTGCACCAGAGAACTTGGGTTTTGGTGGGACACCAGTTCCACCAGCCGTACCCTTATCCTCCTCTGTTATTACAGAGAGCTTAGAAATCTCAGCTGAGGTCTCAGTCGACCTTCTTGAATTTTCCTCAAGAGGGTCTATCGATGGCTCTTCCGAGTATCTCCAAGCCACTTTCTTCTCTAACAAATCCATTTCTGTAAGTAGTTCCGAGTCATTGCCAATGTTATCTGTCCAGGTTTGTTTGTGTTGTGGTTTGTTCATTTTGTTCCCACGAGTATGGGGGTGGATAAAGATCATTACAGGTACTACCCCCTCTCCCTGCAGAAGGCTATTTACAATGAGGTGCGCCAGGTGCCCCAAGTGGGTCGAATTGACAGTGCATGTTTATTTAAGACACCCCCTGCTACTCAGCCACGGCTCGAGCTCCCTCCACCTAGTTTGTGTATTGTAGAAGGATTCATACATCTAAATTAGAGGGCAGAAATGTGGATCCCCCCTCTGTTGTTCGCGAGTCCCATCAGATTCTCCGGGTGCCACCACGAAAAGGTGACAGTGGGAGTTGATAGGAATAGGGAGGACTAGGAAGTCACAAGCAGTGGGTAGGGCACTATTGCTTGATCATTCCGCAAGGTATGGGGGAGATTCCCGCACCCATCTCCCTCTCCAGCCCTCCTTTTGCCCTACCTACTTACCCTCCCCCCTACAATATATTTCATATATAGGTAAGTGAGAGTTAAAATTGGTACTTCATACAATATTTTTATTACAATCTGCCATCACAACTTGTTCATATTCAAATTTGCCAAAAAATTGTTAAATATTTTTAGGCTTTTTGTTCATGTTTAGTTTTTTTAAAGAACTAATCCAAAAGGAAGGAGTAAATCTGTACTGGAATCAGTCATTTATAATCAACCACACCATAGTCCACAACAAACTGATATCGTTTTGATCGATGGTAAGATATAGACAACTGATTAGATTAAATAGAGAATGCTGTGCCAAATGATAAAAGTGTGTGTCTAATGTCTGATTTTCCAGAGGAAGTTTAAGTTTTGTGTTTTTTAATTAAGTCAGGTTTTTTACTTTCACTTAGCTCTATATGTAATGTAAAAACTGAGACAAATTACTATAAATAGCCCTGCAACTTGGAAATGAGTTCCTTGAAAAGAAAAACCCATTGAATCAAAGTTGTAGAGCATCAAATTTTGCATCCAATGAGTACCAACTAATTTAATTTAGGTCACTTACTCCGAACAAAATCAGTAATCTCTCGATGGTTAGAAATTGGTAATGAAGGTAAACGTGATTTTCAATATTTCAACAGTATGGGTGTCTATTCTACTTAGTTATTTTTGTTTAGCGTCGTTACATGCAGTATAAGCCTCTTTTCCACCTCTCAGCAGCTAAGGATTTTGATAAACGATGTGTCCGAATTTCATAAAGGAATAACAAATCCCAATTTAAGATATATAATTGGTGTAAAATAAAATTGTCATTACTCAGTGGATGCAAAATTTAATGCTCTACAACTTTGATTGTTTTTTCTCTTAGAGAACTCATTTCCGAGTTACAGGGCTATTTGTACTAATTGTCTCAGTTTTTGACAAATTTGGTAAAATCAACGTTGGTTGACCGTAGTTTTATACCTTACCACGTAACCAAATTATAAAATTTATGTACTTGTTCGACGCACAAATTAACTTTCTTTAATTTATTGAAGAGTAAATTTTTTCACTTTGGTGCATCGTTTAGGAGTTATAGGTGAAAAAACAAAAAAAAAATCCGAATTTTTTGGCTTTTAGAAGTTTTCCCTTAGTGACCTGCGTTAGCAATTTTGGTCCTTACATATCTGAGCCCATACATACAAGTTGAAAATAAAAACTTTTCTCACATTTTTTGCAATGGATTTCCCGTTTTGATCCACAAACTACTGGCCTAACATTCTTTAAATCAGCCACCATTTTTGAAAGCATCGGCTTTGGAATGGCAGACAAGATTCTTGTTACTCAGAATAACATACATTTTCATAATTTACAATCAAACCTTCGCCTACGATGAAGTTGATTTTTGGGCCCTGGCTCCAGGGCTATGCGTATTGAGGTCCCCCGAGTCCAAATAACCTAGTCCCACAACAAAATGGTATGTGTGTTTCTGTAAACAGTCTAACTAAAAAACGAAAAGTCGTAGGAAACTAAAATTGCGTATTTAAGGTTTGTATATGCCTGGGAAATTCCAGAAACTTTTTTTGTTAAAATTGGGAGACCAGAAATGGCACTTTATATCTCCGATTTAACACATTTTTATAATTTCATCAAAAACAGCTGGTTGCGATTTTGATTAAATTCATTAAATCAGTGCAAAATTAAGTGGGTTTTAATATAATTTAGATCTTATTTTTTATTTGACTTTAATTTTTTATTTTTTTAATTAACCATTTCACATTGTAGCCTAATATAAAAAATTGTTAAATATTAGGTTTTTCCTTGACTGGATTATTATAAATTTACAAAAGCTTCTGAACATTGCTTTGAACATCTGATGACAGTAAAAGACAAAAGGCTCAAATTCTCAGGAAGAAATAGACCGATCAGGATATATGTTTTTTTTATGATTAAAAATAAATCGAAAGTGTATTTTCAAAATGATAAACTTCAATAATAAAGTTCTAAAAGTAAAACCTAATGTAATTGAAGCACATTGAAAAACATTGCAAAAAGTGTTTAATGAAAGACACATTTATAAAAATAAAATTAATAATTTAAATAAAGTGAAGTCTGCTATCACTCCTTTAAATATATCCCTTTACTTATGGACAAATATATATAAATGTACATATATTAACAATCCATGCTATCATTGTTGTAATGTACCTTGGAAGTCGAAGACCCTATGGCCACTTTTAACTAAGTTAACGGTATTATATATTTGTATTTACCTGTTTTCACTTCATCCGGATGTATGCATAACTACGTTCTTAACCTATTACGATAATAGTTACATACTTATGAAAGATCATTGAGTACACTTTTGTTAGGAAGGAAACATCTGTTCAGATTCTCTTATTTAGTTAAGGAAATGTATTCACATGGTATCGGAGAATACAACATACTTCAGAAATGTTTTTGTTTTACCCGTAGGTATAGATAACTATGTTCTTGATGTGGATGAAGGGTGTTAGATTCATTTGAAAGAACACCAAGTCCACTTTTATTTGGAGCAGTACTCCTGTAAAATTAAGAGAGTCAAGTTGGCATAGTTTCCTTTACCTCCTTGGTACAGAAATATGTATATTATTTAATTTCTGTTATTTTTTTAGAGGCAGCTGGTGGGGTTCATGGGTCAATACAGCCAAAAGTAAGGTAAGGCATCACTTAATTGATATTGCTAATGTAAAAGCAACATAAGAATATATATACATGTGTGTGTGTGTGTGTGTGTGTGTGTACGTGCATGCATATGGGCATGTGTTTTTCTTTTTAATCAAAGGTAAGTGGAAATCTTTAAAAGAGACATGAATAGGCATGTACCTATCCGCATGTAGAATTCTTACCCACTAACCTCCCTACACCTGTTTCCCACCCTCTACGGGACTACTGTTAAGCAATACTTCATGGAGGGGCAGTGGCTGTGTGCCAACTCATTTCCTCAGGCTTCTTCCTGGCTCGCTTTTCCTTCTCACTCCTCAGGCTCTTACTGGCCTGCGCTACTAGGTATTGTCCTGCTGTCCAGTACTTTTGAGAGAGCAGCATCAGTCCAAACTATATGAGGTCTGTGACCCACTACTGTTTTGTGCTGCTGATTGACCAGCTAAATTTTCTTTGTTTCTGGACACATTATTGTAAATCTTACATATTGAAAATGAGAATGCTTTAACCTGACTGTGTACATTGGCTGCTTCAAGACCAATTCTTGAAGTTTAATAATTTTGTCTCCCCGCAGTGTCCACACTTCTTTTGTTTTTTTACCATGGTATGTGAAAATCTTCAAAAATATGCAGATAGGCCTACCTCTAATGCCTACCTGTGTGTGAGATTTGTACCCACTAAAACCATCTCCCTATACCTGTTTTCCACCTCCTACAAGACTGCAGTTAGTCATTATTTCATGAAGGGAGAGTGAATGTGTGCCTGATAGTATTAGGCTACCTCCTGCTTTGCCTTTCTTTTTTCACAATATTCAGGTTAATCCTATACTGGTAAACTCAAAACCACCCATGTATAATGAAGAACTGGCTGAAGTAGTAGTCAACGCCAGGGTAACACCATTGATCTTGATCATGGAAATTGCCTATGGTGCTGCATGCACACACACACACACATATATATATATATATATATATATATATATATATATATATATATATATATATATAATGGTGTAAAAGTCTTTGAACGAACCAAATTTTTTATAAAAATGATAAATTTAAAAGTGTTTTTATCTTCTTAATTTTAAACTGATTTAACCTAGCAGACATTGTAGATTTGTTGACCAACATAAAATCATAATTTCACATCAAAAAGAAGTTGTAGGTTCTATTTTTAGAATTCATTATTTCATCAATTTTTTTTATAAAAACAATCAAAATGTAAACTTAAAATATTCAGGAACATCTAAAAAACATAATTCTGCTGTCGAACAACAATTAAAATCATTTTTGGTTGCAAAATTGATAAAAATCTGGCAGAAAACTGGCATAGAAAATAGCCTTTGCTACTAGGACCCAAGAAAACTCTTATCAATAGGCCTTAAAGGTTTTGTTACCTCAAGAAAACTATTTCTTCCGCCTCCTAACCAGCAAAGGTGAATTAAGTTTGCCAAGAAACAAAAATTGGACAGAAGAAGAATTGAAAAAAATTTAAGAAGAGATGAGTCAAAATTTGAAACTTTTGGTTTTTGAAGGGGACAGTATGTTTGATTAGATCTGGAGTGGAATTTTCAAACGAATGTTTGCAACCAAGAGCAAAACACTGAGGTGGCTTCTTAATGGTTTGGGGTGTGTTTCTTCATCTGGAGTTGGAGACCTCTAGTGAATGGATGGAAAACTGGATACGAAACGGTACCATAGCATTCTTACTAACATGCAATACCACCTGTGATTAAGCTGATTGGGCTGAATTTTCTTTTTCTTTTAGCAAGGTAACAATTATAAGTGTGGATATCTTGCCATTTGTTAAAATATAAGTAATATTAAATAGAAAAGAAAAAGAAAATATGGAATGTTTAATTAAATTTTTGTTAAAAAAGTGGAGAATTCCAATATTAAAACAGTTTTTATAGATACATTAACCTTTCTATAAAAAGGCTTTATTGATGTTAACAATAAAGAATTAAGTCTGAAGTGGATCACAAAGAAGTATAATTTAAACAATAAGGTAGCAGTATTCAGCCACTGAAAATAATGCTAATTTAAATATATGTTGCTTCTATAATGTCTGCAAGGTTAAATAAGTTTAGAATTAAGAAGATAAAAACACTTTTAAATTGAAACATCATTTTTACAAAAATTTGGTTTGTTCAAAGACTTTTACACCATTGTATATATATATATATATATATATATATATATATAAAATCTTAATGACTGTATAATATTTTATATTTTATTTTCTTGCTTACTCTATATTAAAAAAAAATACAACCTGAACTACAGAATACATGTAAATTATTAGTGTATATATATATATATATATATATATATATAATTTTTATTTTTTCGGTTGGCTCTACAGACCTTGTAGATCTTTTGCCACCTGAACCAGCCTTCTCCACCTCTGGCTATCTTGGGCTGCTGCTTTCCAGTTTGCGGCATGAAGCTCAACCATATCTTTGTTTATCCTATCTATCCATCTGGTTTTTGGCCTTCCACGTGATCTCTTGCCTACTGCTCAGGCATTCATTGTTGTGTAAAGGCGTCCTGATGGATTGCTACAAGCTACATGCCCTGCCCATCTTAACCTCCTTGCCTTCATGTCATGAGATCTTGACTGACCCGTTTCTTTCAACAGTTCTTTATTGTTCCTTCTTCTCCATGTGTCAAGTGCCGGTTAGAGCCCAGGTTTCACAACCGTACAGCAGAACTGGCTTAATCACGGCGGTGTACAGCCTTATTTTGAGATTTCTGGATTTTAGTACCTTTGAAAGAGAGAAGAAAGATCTGTTCGCACTTGTTATTCACTGGTCTATCTCTGTTAGTTGATCATTTATTGAGGTTATTGTAGAGCTGAGGTATTTGAATCTGTCTACTTTCGGGAATGACTTAGAGTCCACGCAGATCATGTTATTAGATTGGATGTTTCGGCTAACTATCATGTATTTTCTTTTATCTACATTGACCTGTAGTCCGATTTGCTCTGCTTCTTTTAATAGAATCCGAGCTAGTCTCTCAATATCCTCTTAATTACTTCCGAGGACAGCTATATCATCGGCATATGCTAGGATTTTATGTTTCATTCCAACGTGCACCCCTCCATCTTATTTTATATGTTATTCTTATTACTTTCTCTAGTGCTAAGTTGAACAGCATCAGCGAGAGTCCATCTCCCTGCCTCAAACCCTTTCGAACTTCAAAGGCTTCAGATACTTCTCCTTATATTAGTACCCTGCATTTAGGATCATTCCCAGGAACACCCAGCTCAGCTGTCAATGGAGTAATAGGCTGATTTGAAGTCGACAAATAATGCGTGTACGTCCTGATCTACTTCCCATCGTTTTTGAAGTACTTGTTTTAGGATGAATATCTGATCTAGAATACTCCTCCCTCTCCTGAATCCTGTTTGATGGTCGCCGATTATGTTTTCATAATACGGATATATCCGATTTAGCAGAATATTAGTCAATATTTTATAGGCGACCGGAAGAAGTGCTATGCGTCTGTAATTGCCACATTCATACATGGAGCCCTTCTTAAGGATAGGACAGATTAACCCTGTGTTCCATGCTTCTGGTATCCGTTCCTTCTCCCATATCTTCTGGCTTAGATCTAACAGCTTGGCTCTGAGTGTTTCTCCCCCATCCTTGAACAATTCTGATGGTAGGTTTTCTATTCCTGAAGCCTTTTTTCTTTTAAGTCTGCTAATAGCTATTTCCACATCCAGAATATCTGTTTTTTCAACCTCAAGTGGATTGATGTCCTCAGTGTGGTCCATGTCTTCTTCGTTTGTAGGGTGCCCTTGATTAAGCAGCTGCTGGAAGTCTCTTATGAATTATGAATTATAGTCTCATATTCTCTCTCATATGAATTATTTAACCTACATAGAGTGATGAGGGCACTTCTATTTTTCTTGAAACATCTCATTTGAAGTCATAAGGGAAATACTCCCTCTTAACAAATATTGTGCTTCGAAAAGTGAAAGAGTTAAATAAAGATCTATTTATAATTTCATATTTTTACTGTTTAAAGATATATTTTTGTTCATTATGTTCTTTGTTGTATTATTTTATACCTTTAAATTTAAAATTATATATGAGATCATTTTTCCATTTTGAATTTAAATCTTTCTAATATAACCTTCCATTCTTTCAGTCAGCTGAAGTTTATGAGTTCATGAAAAAAGATATAAGTGAATTTTCTTCAGCAGTGAAATCTGAGGCAACTACTATAGCAGAAGTTGTAAAATGTGAAGCATCAACCATTGCTGAAGCAGTGAAAGATACTTTACAGGTAGTCTTTTATTTATCTATACAATATCATTCAAATAAAATGATGTCTATTTTAATGTAATTTATTGTTTTAAAGATATTAAATTATTTTTATAATCAATAGTTTATGAAAACATATATTGCATTATAAACTTTTTTTATTGGTTGGTTGATTGTTGTATAGTAAAGGCATAAAACCTGTTTTGTCATCAACACCATTAATTAAAATTATATATTATTATATATTTTGGTTGTAAATATTAAGAATTGGATTAAATTAAAAAGATGTAAAATTAAGAATGGGATAAAATTCTAAAGATGTAAAATGCACGTTAAGATTAAAGTTGTTTACGGTTATTGAAGTTAGCTCGTTAGATAAAAAAGAAAAAGAAAAAAAAAATGTGGTGAGTGCTGCATGAGAGGTTCAAAGATTTTTTAAGATTCCTTCTTCATAGAGAGAGAAAACATGATTTTGCCTAAGATTTTTTCATCATTTCCCAAAGCAGCTGGTGTATTTGCTGGTATTCCCCTTATGTTTAATTCTCTGATGTAAAAGGCATAGCTCTGCAAGATATGGGCCACTGTTATTCTCTCTCCACACTTCCGACAAATGGGCGGGTTTTCTTTTATAATTAAGTGAAGGTGCGTAAGCCTGGTATGACCTATTCTTAATTGCGTAAGGACAACTTCCTCTCGTTGACTGTGACTGGAACTGCTCGATGGCTTCACTTCCTTTTTTATCACCTTTAATTTATTTGGAGGGCTATTGTTCCATAGTATCTGCCAATCCTGGTGTATGGCCTCTGTAGGAGGTCGCGCCAGTTCGGACGCAGTTAAGAAAGCTTTACCACGTCCTGGAAGGATAAGAGCTTCTTTTGCTGCTCTGTCAGCCATTTCATTCCCACCAATCACTACATGACCAGAGGACCATAAAAAATGTACTAATGTTCCATTCTTACTTAGCTGTTTTATGAGCCCCAAAATAGTATATATTCTTAGGTGGTCTGGATACATGTTGTTCATGGCTTCAAGGACACTCAAAGCATCTGACACCAGTATTTTCTTTTTTAAATTTGGAGAGCAGTAGATTTAATTTAGGCTGTATACAAGTCCAAGGGGGTATGTCATTTTGAATTGTATTTAAGTTAATCTGTTTCAACTTACATATTGAGCCATAAACAAAACTGCCATAATCTATCTTAGAACCTATTAATGCTTGATACACTTTTAGCATTGTATTCCTGTCCGCTCCCCACTTAGTACCGTTAATATCTTAAGCTTTCTAGCTCCATTTTCTTTCAATGACTTAATGTGATGTTCCCAAGACAGAGGCCTATTTAAGAACAAACCCAAAAATCTACAGTTATCGGCATATGGTAGTTTAACATCTCGTAGATAAAGATTTGGCAATTGTTATGTTTTTCGTTTACTGCTGAAATGTACACATTTTGTTTTGTTGATGGAAAATTGCAATCCTGATGATTTAGACCAACTGTCAATTCGACATAGTGCATCTTGGAGTTTCTTTTTAATAAAGGGGATATCTTTTCCTTTGTATAATATTGCAAAATCGTCTACAAATAGCATAACTTTAACTCTGCGTGGTAGATTTAATCCAAAGTCGCTGATGGCTAAGGCGAATAGAGTCGTACTTAGGACACATCCTTACGGCACCCCACTCATCTGTTCACATTGCATGGACAATGATGTTTCAATTTGGATTTGAAAAGAGTGATGAGAAAGAAATTCTTGGATGAATTGTGGAAGACTACCTCTAAATCCTAGTGAATGGAGCTTTCTTAGAATTAAATATTTATTGGTCTTATCAAAGGCTTTGTTTATATCGAAGAAAACAGCAACTGCTTCCTCTTCATGAACACACGTAATATTTATTACCTTGATTAAAGGTAAACTGTAATTCAGATTCCAGTTGGACTAGGTGGTTTATGGAAAAGCATTCCAAAGACTTGTCGAACATGCAAAAGTATCTTTCCGCCAAATTTCACCAATTTTTAAACTATGGGTTTAACACGGAAATTCCCTCTGCTCCACAAACCGCCGATTCTGGTTGTGAATAAATATTTTTAAAAACATTAATGAATTTAGGAGTTTTTAGAGATACTGTCTAATGCTACTTTGAAATCTACAAAAAATGCAAAGATTTTGAGTTTAATTTTTATAATATTTATCAAAACAAATATTATATCAATTGTTATAAATAATATCAATAAATATCAGTTGTTGAGTACCCGCCTCTGAAACCTGTTTGGTATTGACTGAGAAGATTATTCTTCGTGTTCTAATATTTTGGAACCCTGTCATTAATGACCCTATCCCTGGATTTCCTAGACAGATTACAATTTTTATTTTATTTTTTTCATTATTTTTATTCTGAGGGGACTGTGTCCCAAAATAAAGTTTCTTTTTCTATTCTATTCTATTCTACAATTAGGATTATCCAAAATTAAATCAGAGGGTAGAGACGGAGAGGAGAATCTGCAATTATAGCTTTGAAGTCCCCAGTTAAAACCAATTTAATGTGTGAATTTTTTATAAAAAAGTTTGCCAAACTAGAAAAATCTGAGTTCCAAAAATTTCCATGTAAATATATTTGGCTATGGTAGAATTTCAAAAATCACAAAAACTACATGATCAGAAACAGGAAAAAAACTTACAGGAATGGTTTCAGACAACTCAGTAGATGACAGATTAAAAAAAGTCAGTCAAAATTTTGAAAGCTTTAAAAATCTCAAAAAGTGCCAAAAATTACGTGATCAGCAGCAGATAAAAAACCAATTGGAGTAGTTTCAGACCACTTTGTAGGTAACAGATTTAATTAAGTCACACAAAATTTTGGAAGCTTTATGTGAATCTGACAGCTTTAAAAATCTCAAAAAGTCCCAGAAGTTACGTAATCAGCAGCAGGAAAAAATCGGTTAGAATACTTTCAGAGCACATTAATTTTATTATTGATCCTTTTGCCGTTTTCCCTGTTGCCTATTTCATTCCATCTATTAGATTTATGAAAAATTTTCGTGAATTTGATTAACAAAAGCAGTAAAATTCCAAATTAATGACACAGAAATCCATATTTTTATTTAGCCATTAACTATGCTAATGTTTTAAAAAAATGGAGTTTTTTATTTTATAAAATCCTTGTTATCTATTTATATATTGTATATGATAGTTATCTATATCATCGACTGATAAGCAGCATCTGAAGAAATGAGTGTTTACGCTCGTAATTATGCCGGTAATTTACACTGGGTTTCATCATTTTATGTACACTAGGTTGTATAAAATATTCAATAAAGAAACAACAGAGTTGATGTTTATATTAACAAAAATGACATTTAACATTTCTATCACATTACAAATTTATTATAAATTTGATTATAAAAATTACTAGAAGTGAGGTGAAAAAATTAAGTTGTCCTCATCATTTGCAGGATCATAGCCTGTTTCTTGTTTAATGTCATATTCAGTTTCATCCTCAGTTTTTTGTCATCGAAGTTTTTGATTTGATGATTGATGGCCATAGAAACCCATCAAACCAGAGTGGAATATGATCACCTTCACAAATTCTCCATCCACTACCTAAATAGAAAAAATTAATGAACACTATATATTCAATACAATTTACTACACTAACACGTTGAATATATCATATAAGTTATCTCTTCAGAAAAAAAGTTGTCCTAGTTTTATTTATATTTGTGCAACCTTGTTGTCTGTACAGTAGGCAGGTATGTTTTTCTAGTTCCAGGATATTTTCTTCTGGAATCCTCTCAAATTAGCCGAGTTTTGAAAATATTTCTATAGTTTCTATAGATCTTTAGTTTTTTTTTCATAAACGTACGTTCATGGCATAAAGAAAAGATAAACTGTAGTGGCCTTTGTCTTTTCTTTTCGCCAAGAAGCAGATGTGAAGTCAGGCACTGTCTAAAGATGAAACGCTGGCAAGGCTTTGGCTAAGTCGATATTTCTTGTTGAAATACGAGCAATCTATGTTTCAATAGTTATGCATCTCTTTTTAGAGAATAGCAAGTTCCTCATAATCCACCACCAAATGAAAATTACCCAATCATCGATGACGTTCTTGGGGTTTTTAATCTTCAGCAAAAAATATCTCAAACTCAGCTTTGAAATGATCCTTTCCTTATAAATTTCTAAAATTAGAGTCTAAAAATTTGTAATCCCTTTATAGTAAAAATATGTTATGTGGTTACTTCTAGCCTTCGTATCTCATTCTTTCAATATTCAATTGTTGATGACATGTTTTTCTGCATACGCTCCCTCAAGGTGATCTATTAACTTTTATACTTCAAAAGTTAAAATCAATCAGATCATCCTCACGAGACATAATATTTGATAGATACGTAAAATTATCCTAAAACAGTGTAAAAGAATGAGAGACCAGGGTAAGGGAAACCACATCAGATATTTATCCTATAAAGTGACCACACAATTTTAAACCATCTAATTTTAGAAACTCATTAGGAGAGGATCATTTTCATTTGGTATTGCCTTATGATGAATCCTGCTATTCTCTAAAAGATGGATGCACAACCATAGAAACTGAGGTGGAATGTACGTATCTATCAAGGGATTGGTTCTGACTTAGCCAAAGGATTGTCAGCTTTTCATCTTTAGACAGGGTCTGATTTTACATCTGCCTCTGGGCGTAAAGGAAAGATAATGCCACTACAGTTTACGAAAAAATTAAAGATTTATAGAAATATTTTCGAATATCGTCCTATTTGAAAAGATTCTAGAAGAAAATATCTTGGAACTTGAAAAATATACCTGCCCACTTTACAGACAAAAAAAAGGTTGCAAAAATATCCAATGCACAAATGTGGCCAAAGCCAGGGCAATTTTTTTTTATGAAGAGATAACTTATATCGTATATTTAACATGTTAGTGTAGTAAATTATATTAAATATACAGTGTTCATTATTGATTTCTATTTAGGTACGATTGCAGTGATTTTTTTGAACTATTTGAATAGCGCACATAAAGTTGATGCTGCATGTCTTCCACTATCAAAGAGAGAATTATTCCTAAAAATCAAAATATGATATTATATATATATTTTATATGGAAACAGGCTGACATACCACGGCTAGAACTATTAGCCACAATGTAACCAGATAACAGTGGGTGGTTAATTTGTGACCGTCATTACTCTCCACTCTGGTTTGAAAGGTTTCTATTGCCATAGGAAATCAAAAACTGAGAATGAAGCTGAATATGTCATTGAACAAGAAAAAGACTGATTCCCCAGATGACAAGGAAGCTGCAATCTCTGGATCCATTTCTTCTCTGGGCATGCTAATTTATTTGAAATAACCTCATAAAGCTGAAATTGTGTATTGACCAAGTGAACGTAGTGATTATTATTTACTAATTTAATTAAAGTATCAATAGCTATCGGTGTCACTAATTATTACCTATGTATAGTTATGGCTTAAATAGGAAAACTAAATTTGCTTGGTAAATATATCTATTTTAACAATAACAATGTCGTTTATAAACTAATTAGTAACTAGACTCACAGGTGTTTGAGCTTTGGTCTTTCAAAGGAATCATTCTCTAATATTAACTGTGTTGTAATATTTGAGTAATTTTACAAGAAAAATGTTATAATTATTCACTTAACTGAACTACTCTACAACCTAGTGTAACTTTCTTTTTCTCATTAGTTTATATATATATATATATATATATATATATATATCACATGGTGATATGTTATCATTGACACAGTTATTAATTAATAGGATTGGATGTCGTAGTGCTGCTACAGTTCCTATCTATACTTCTTAGTCTATCCTTCTACCTTTCGATTCAGTCTACCTGTGGTTTCAGAATTTATTGGTCAAATATGGATGGAAACAAAACAAAGAGTTTCATATTGTTCATGTTACATATTTAAAAAAATAAAAATAACCCTAAATTATTCTATGATTTAATTTTTCAATTCCAAATTAATTTTCAGTTAGACAATGATGAGTCTACAGCTGGAACTGTGAAAAAGTCTGTAAGTTCATTCTTTAGTCAGTTGTGGGAACCTATTACTATTGACGATCAGCTGAGTCCGATGGTTATAAAGGACTCTGAACCAGTTTGTATGACTGACCTTCAGGTATTAATAATTTTGCTTTTATATATTTTTTTTAAATATGTTTATTGTTCTGATCTAATTTGTTTTAATTTTTAATTATTTAAATATCAAGTAAATTAAAGAAACAAATCATCAACATTAGATTTGTTTGATGTCCTACAGTGGAGTTGCAAAATTAAGGATTATTTCAAAAGTTCATTATTTTCTCTTACTTTTACAAAGTTACTGGCTAACTTAATAACACAATCAAGTGCATATGTACACACTATAGTATGAAACAAATAACTTGCATGGTTGGGTTTTCTTGGGTCTTCCGGCATTGGTGGACAAAAGCTTTCATGAAGACCCTTGCTGTAAAGTTGAAACATACGCTATCCAATAAACACTATACTCACATGGAATACATGTTCGTTGAAATTTACTCTATTACCTCTCCTCTGTTATTTGCCATAGTTTACCGCCCTCCTCGTGTTCCATTCGATAACTTCTTTGAATCCTCCCTTGTCAATGTGGTTTCCCATTATATCAATATTATTATCACCGGCAATTTTAACTTGAATATGCTCACACAATCTTCTGAAAATACTTCCTAACTGATCTACTGTTTTCCCTTTATCTTTATCTTGTTCTTTATTCTCCTGCCCACCACAAGCTATTTTCTGACGCCTGGTTAGACCTCTACATCTCTGACTCATATCAAAATCCTCTCCTCTTCTAAACACCCCCTTCCATTTCTTTATCACACAACCTGATCCAAATTACATATGACCTACCCGTGAAATCCTTTAATCCCAAAATGGTCTCATACCGTAATTTAAACCTTCTCTCATATGAATCCATTCAACCTGACCTTGATTCTTTCCAATGGGACGTCATATCTTCGTATAATTCCATTGATCCTATGTTATCTACCCTAAACTCAAACCTACAATCCTCATTAGACACCCATGCTCCTCTGAAAACTAGAACCTTACATCGTCCCACTGCACCTTGGGAAGCAAAAACCCTCCCTAAATCTTAGAACTCCTTACTTTACACTCCTCTATCCACTCTCTCAACACCAGATCTCAACCTATAGATTTATATATCCACTCCTATAAAGCCAATTCCTTCAGTAAATCCTTCTTCATTCGTGCTACCTCCTTAAGGAACTCCTTCAAACAACTCCTATTCCACCACCTACTACAAATTCAAACTTTCGCAAGCTTGTAAAAATTTCTGGGTTATATAATTACGCTGGTCACAAGCAGTAAATTTATAGAAGTCATTTGATTTTTATTTATATTTAGTATTTATTGTATATATCTGTTTTTCGTAAGTATCTTTTGTAGATATTTATATTTTCCTTTGTATTTTATATATATATATATATATATATATATATATATATATATATATCTGTATTTTCCTTAGTATCTTTGTGTGTGTGTGTGTGTGTGTGTGTATATATATATATATATATATAGAATAGAATAGAATAGAAAAATAATTTTATTCTGGGATGAAATCCCTTTAGAATAACAAAAAAGTACACAATTAAAGTATTATATCTGGCCTAAGTAAAAACAAACATAAAAAGTAAAAATAAAGAAAAAAAGTTTTTTTTTTTTATTATTTTAATGGAATTTACAACTATTACATAGAGAATACAATAAGTAAATGAGAAATTTGTAACATGGCATGTACAACATGAAGAGAAACTACCCATTGGTAGAACTCAAATTAAAGTTCTATATTAGAAGATCCCGAGGCCATCTTCTTTTCAGACGCCTCGGAGGGTTATCAGGGATCGAGGAGGAAGCAAGGTTTGAAAGGAGAGGATTCGGATGGTTCTGCAGTTTGTTGTGGAAGGAAAGGTATCTGGATTGGGCCAGATCGGAAACATATGGAACATTAAGGTCTTTATGGATGATTTTATTTGTGACAGAGTAAGGAGCGTTGAGGATTTTACGAAGGATTTTGGATTGTAAGGATTGGATACGAGAGGAATTTGATGGTTTAGTGGAGCCCCAAAGCTCAATTCCGTAAGTCCAAATAGGTCTTATTATTGTCATATATACGAGTCGTTTATAATTGATTGAAAGCTTAGATCGTTTGTCTAGTAAGTGCTGCAGTAGGCGAAAACATCGGGCGGTTTCTAGTCGTTTCAGTCTGGTATAGGGAAGAACAAAAAGTAAAGAAAATATTAGTTAAACTTACTATGTACAAAATTAAAAAAAAGTCTATATACAAAACACTTGAAACTATGCCGAGACACTTAAAACTATGTACAGTGGTAAAAAATAAGTATACACCATAAAACAAATAAATAAAAAATGCATTACATTCTTCCTAGCAATAAACTGTGTTTCTGAAAAAAGGAAAAAGAAGACGAATCTGATAGTAAGTATTTAAGTCATGAATTATATGTAAATATACCATTATGTGAATCATTTCGAATAATATATAAATTTACTTAAAAGGTTAGTGGGAGTTGTCTGACTGTTTTTGGAATAGAAATTGGAATAGGAGGGTTTTAAGTGTAGATAGGGAGGGAAAATGCCGAATTTTGATAGGAAGGGAATTCCAGAAATTAAAAGAACGAGCAATAAACGAGTTTTGGAACGAGGCAGATCTGTGAGAAGGAATGTGAAGATTGGAAGGTCGAGATCTTGTGAAAAGGGAATGAACTGAGGACTTGAATTGAAGAAGGTTGTAGGCATAAGAAGGACGATGATTTGATAGAGGAACGTACCTAGGAAATATTGTCTTCGGATGGAGGGGAAGAGCCACTTTAACTCAGTGTAGTGGTAAGACACTTGGGAGTATCTCAGGGCACCAATTACAAATCTCACGCAACTGTTCTGTAATCTTTTCAGTCTGTCACGGAGCTCCACCGAGAGTCCATCATACACCACATAGCTGTAGTCAAAGTGGGGGAAGATGAGAGAGGAAACCAGGAGTCTATACATATGTTGAGGTAGGAGATGGAATAGTTTGAGGGTGGAAATTGTCCGTCGGGAGATGTGAGAAATGTGGTGATTCCAAGAGAGGGTTTGATCAATGAAAAATCCTAAATTTTTGACAGAGGAATAGAAGGAGATTGGCTGGTCATCAAGGTTTAGTATGGGAAAGTCGGAATAGGATCTAAGAAGGGGCTTGGAACCAATGACAATGGCCTGAGTTTTAGCCGCATTTAACCTTAATCCGTTTAAGTTTGCCCAGGCACTGATTCGATCTAGGTCTTCTTGGATCTTAGTAAATGCTACCAAAAGCTCAGAGTGAGAAAAGGATAGATATATTTGGGAATCGTCTGCATAAAAGTGGTGGGAAAAATGGAGAATTGATTTATGTAGGTCGTTAATGTAGGAACTAAGAAGGAGAGGAGATACGCTAGATCCTTGGGCAACTCCAGAGGATAAAGTAAGGTAGGCAGATAGTGATTGATTAGGTATGGAGCTATTGGAGAAGGATAATGATTTTAGTTTGTTGAAAAGGATGGGATGTTTAATGGAATCGAAGGCTTTGGAGAAGTCAAGGAGTATAAGGACAATCAATTGTTTATTATCTATTGCAGTCTGAACATCATTGGTAATTTTAGTTAAGGCGGATTGTGTGGAGTAACTGGGATGGAAACCAGATTAGAGAGGATCAAGTTGGTTGGACTTTTCAAGGAAATTGGAAACTTGGGATTGCACCAATCTTTCAAGGAGTTTTGAGAGATTGGAAAGAATTGAGATTGGGCAAAAATCTTCGGGAGAGGATGGATTAGGCTTTTTATTTAAAGGGAGGACAATGGTTTTTTTTCCAAGAGGTAGGGAATATTGAGTTCTGTAGGTAGATATTGTAAATGAAAAGGAGAACTGGGAGGATTTCGGGAAGACATAATTTTATCAATTTGACAGGAATGCCATCTGGTCCTATGGAGTTGGTGTGGGATTTCATTACAGCGGTTAGTAGGTCAGTGTGGGAAATGTCAGAGAAATAAAAGTCATCATCCTTGAATGATGACTCAGGAGCAAAATTGGAAGAAGAGGGTAGAGGAGATAGAAATAAAATGTGAATTTAAGTCTTCATGTGAAACGGGAAAGACTATTGAGAAAGGAGGGGATCTGGAAGGTTCACAGAGGGAAAGTTTGTGAAGGATTAACAATTTAGATTTGGGATCTGGAGCAGATGAAAGGGCTTCATGGAAGTAGGTAGCTTTAGTTCGCCGAATCCTTGTTTGTGTCAAGTTGCGGAGCACCCTAAACGCTTGATAGTCATCTGTAAGCCTGGTACGTCTAAAGCGTCTACGGGCAGCATCACGCTTCTTCTGCAGATCCTTAATTTCTTGACACATCCAAGGTACAGGCCAGCGGCGAAAGGTTGAGGTTTTTATGGGAGCATGGGTGTTAAGGATACTGAGGAGATTGGAAGTCAGGATCTCAACCATGGAGTCGATGGAGGAGCAGGAATATATTCCGTTCAAGTCTAAGGTTTCAAGGTCAGGTAGTATTTTTTCACAGGTGAGAGTTTCTAGTTGACGGAAAGTGAAGGTTCTCAGATGAATCAGGGGAGTTTGGATATTATATGTTATTAGGATCAGGTCGTGAGGCGATAAGAAGGATACTGGCAGTTGAGAAGAGGAGAGATTTTGTTCGGAGTCTATATTGAAGAAATCTAACCAAGTATCGACCTTGCAGGTGTGGTGAGTAGGGTAAAAAGGAACAATAAAGAGATGAAGGGAGCAAAATAGGTTTTCTAGATATGTTTTGTCTTTAGAATTAGAAAGGAAATTGGTATTGAGGTCACCGGCGATGATTATTCTAGGATAAAGGGGAACAAAGTTGAGTAGGGTTTATTCTAAGGACGGATCAAATAGAACAAGGGGAGGACGATAGATCACTGTGTAAAGGAGAGGGGAATTATTACAGGTAATTTCTACTTGTAGGTACTCAACTTGTGGATGTTCAGAGGGTGGGGAGCAATCAAGGATTCGGGACTTCAGGCTATTATGGACAAATATTGCTACCCCACCCCCCGTTCGGCTGGTCCGGTCGTGACTGATGAGGGTGTAATTAGGTAAGGAGACAGACAAGGATGGAATATAGGGTTTGAGCCAGGTTTCTGAGATTGTGATGATGTGAAAAAAGTTTTGAGAAAAGTACTGCAGGAATTCATCATAATGAGCGAGAAGGGATTGCGAGTTAACGTGACAGGTGGTTAGGATACTAGACATGGTGAGGATTTGATGGGAAACAGTCAGAAATTAGCATAGAGGGAATGAAGCATATATCATATTCTGAAAGACATTTAAAATAAGTATTAATAAGGAAAATAAAAGTAGATATTGTAAAAATGAGTGAGTGACAAAAGTAAGAAAATAAACAAATTAGTAAACAAGAGCTATGAGACAGTTTAACCAAAATATTCAAAATTATTTGGGCAACAATTAAGATAAAAAATACTTTTATGAAAGAGAAGAAGTGATGAAACCTGTACAGTCAGGCGAAAACTTCAAGATCCGATGCCTGATTACTCAAGATTATTTGATGGCTGTCGTCTTTTCGCACATTACCGGCAGCGAACCATACATATCTTATCTTCCCGACAGCTCTCTTCTGCCAGGCAAGCCAGTAGAGGTGCTTGTTCGTTAGGGTCATCTCCTCGCCGAGATAAATTTGTTGGCAGTCATTTTCCTGCCACCCGATAACACACGTCGAGAAGTCCCTCTTCACTTTTCTTCTTGCTATCAGGTCGTCCCTCACTGACTGCCTGACGAAATGTGCTATTACCGGCAGCGGTCGTGGGTCATCCTTCTTGCTTTTGCGGCGCTGCACCATATCCACATTCTCCACTCCAAGCTTGATGCCCAGCCCCGCAGATCACCAGAGCTGCGGTTGTCTCGTCTGCTCGCACTGGTATCCCACGAATCTCCAGCGATCTACATAATAGGCACTGTTCTGTTTTGTTCAGGCAGATCTCTAAATCGCTGACTCGAGATTTCAGGGCTTTATCTTCCAAGATGATCTCTTCAAAATGTTTGACTTGGCCCTTAAGATGTTTTTCTAATTTTGATAACCTCTCATTCAGTTCAAAGCTGAGGTCTCCATATTTATCTAAGACTGTCTTCATATCTCTTATTTCCTCACTGACATGGTTATCCAGCCTATAAACTGCAGCTAATATTTCTGATGCGGGCGGTTCATTGCTTAAATTTTGATTTTTGCTTGATCGCAATTTAGGCACATCCATGTTTTTTTTTTGTAGATTTCTGAGCTTCTATCTCTTTGTCTGTGAGATTAAAACCCTTGCCAAGATAGATAACTTTGCACTTGGCACAACCTAGATTGTATTTATCTTCACGGGCAATAGCGTTATTACAAATTGTGCACATAACCATTTTATAATAATAAAAAATAACTTACGGTTAATATAAATGCCAGTGAAGTTTATGTTGTGATCCACCAAGCAAACAACTGCTAATACTGACAGGATTATTAGCTTAACAATCACAGGGCTCGTAGAACTCTCACTATATTTTCTTTACGTTGAGCAGCGTGAAAATACGAAAATATTAAAAGTATTAAAAATCATGTACAATAATATAACACTGTACACAAAAAAAAATAAGAAAGAAAAAAATTGGGCTCGATATATGAAATTAAAAGATAGCGCTACGTAGATGTTTACTCACTGCTGTCTCAGGCCAGACTGATGATTTACAATTTCCTAGGTATTTTTTGTATGTGTTTGTATTATACATGCTAGACTAATGTACATATTTTTTAAACTCCACTATTATTCTAAGGGGTCTTCAGTTCCAGAATAAAATTATTTTTCATTCCTTTCATGGTTTCATACAGTCATTTTGGTACCCCGACTTAGCAGTTTACTACACAGGAAACTTCTTAGGGCAAAATGTGCTTTGTTAGCTCCCATAATACGATTTTGAATTTCCTCCTCTTCCTCCATCTGATCATTTACTCTGGAGCCAAATTATTTAAAACTAGACATACTAGACATTCTTACCTTATGTCCATGGCTGATCTTTGCAACTTTCTGAAAGTGATCTGAATTAATGTCTGGTCTTCTTAAAGATCCCACATCATTAACTACATTGAAACATCTATTGGAAACCAGAAATGATCTATCTGCATGTAACTCCATTTGGCAAGATCCATGTTTGCTTATGTTTTTCTTTGTGAGTAAACACAGTGCTCATCGCTACTAATGATCTCGATGCAGCAAAACCAAACATTCATTCTACATTATCATTAGTCTTCATATTTAAACTATGCTTGCCAATCGTAGGAGCAAATACTGCTGGTTCTTTATCAACCTCAGCATTAAAATAACCTAACACTATTTTCATATCAAAAGAGGGGCAAGCAGGTATTTTTATATTATTTTTATAATATGAGTTCCAGGTGGTTTACTTAAATCCATCCAAAATCCGAGGCTGGACTGTTGAGAATTAGTAACTTGTATTTTTGTTTATAAAGGGTGGATAAAGCCTCTACCTCCTTCAATCCCAACCCTCCTCTTTTATCCGGGCTTGGGACCGGCTCTGGATTCCACGAGGCGAATCTCACTGGCAGTTACTTTCCAGAGTTTCACAGACCTTACCTTAATACCTGTAATTTTTATTGATGGAATATTCTTATTCTACGACCAGTGTAATAAAAAAATAAAAAGGCGAGTAATAGAGCAGTTAATAAATGCTTTAATGATTTTATAGCATTAGGAACTATTAATCCACTAAGAAAATTATTCATAACCTAATATATTATTTTATAAAACAGTACTAATGTCTTCTTGCCAAATTTTATACTATTAGCTGAATTTTGCTGCAATATTCATTATTTTATATATATACATATTTCCTTTTTTTAGTTTGATACCACTTCTTCAAATTGGTATATTTAATAGTGTAATATTGTTTGACAGTGGATGATTTCCAATGTAATTCTTTTATAAAAATTATCTTATTGCATCTATTTTATTTTATTTACTTATTTTTTAACATAATTATTTTTCTTTTTACCTGTTTACTTATTGCCTCTTTTCCTTACTTATTTGTCTTACCTACACTGGTAGTCTAGGCAATAAAGGAAAAAAAGGGAAAGGGGGGAAGTTTTGTTGTCATAAATTATAGCATACACCATTTTTTCCATATATACACTTCATATTCCTTCTACTTTAGGAAGATTATTTGTGTTACAGTATAAACACCATCTTCTTATTACTGATGCTAAGACTTTCACTGAATGTATATCTGATGAGGAGCAACCACAGTTTGATGCTTGGTACAATATTGTGGAGGAGGATTTTACTGATGTTGATTCTCTGGGTAGACAACTTTCTTCATGCCCAGCTTTAGAAGACAAATACCGAGACCTTGTTCCTGATCAGGTTTTTAATTTTTTTTAATCTGTTTTTATCATCACCATGAGAACTTGATTGTTCTAATTATCTTAATTTACCAAAGACCATTTTTATAATAGTTTTAAAGAATTATTCAAAGGAAGTGATTGAAAATTTATTGATTTAATTCAAAGGAAGTGATCGAAAATTTATTGATTTAATCCAAAGGAAAATTAAGACATTTAATTTCATCCACATATGGTATACAATTGCATCTCTGAAGACAGACTTCGGTTAATTTTTTTCTCTATTATTTTGGAAATATTGTTATAGGTATGGTGTACTGGTACTGGTTTTGGTATTGATGGGGGAAACTATTCCAACAAGTGGGCCACATTTTCTTTTTTGCCAATCCCTGAAGGCTACCTTGAGGTTGCGGCTAGGTTAGGTACGTACCAGAGTGGGAATGTCAAGATTTATTTCCTGGGGCCACTGAGAAATTAAAATTAACCAACCCAGGTGGGAATCAAACCCAAAATGTTCATAACTGGACACTTAGGGACCCACACCCCAATGTGCTTTCCCATCCTCTAGGTATGGTGTAAAGGAGAATTGAAATGAGAATGAGAATATTAAAATGAGTTAAATAAAATTTTATTTCTAGTTATATTTTATTAGCCTGGGGAGTGGGGTAGCTCAGTGGTAGGGTACTGAGTTTCCAATGCTAAAGGTCCCAGGTTCGAACCCCGGCTCATGGCAGAAAATTTATTTGTCTGTTTCATTGGCCGTGGGGCGACCCTGCGTCGGAAGACCCTCCTGGGGCACACCCAGCCTCTATAAAGTGGGTAGGTACCCTTGATTAAATAATTAATTAAGGGGAAAAACCTGGCGGTTGAGCGTGATCTCGGTCAAATCACCTCACCTCCTTGCACAACCGTTGACCTAGATAGTGCTTTCCTTAAATAGTACTGAACCCAAGATCCTCCATGGGTTGTAGTGATACAGTTTTTTTTATTAGCCTAGTTACTCATTTTATTATTTAAAAAAAAGAAGAGATTAGTTAATAACTAGTTGTAGTCACCAAACCAGTTATGGGCAGGCTTCTTCTATTTTTACAACAATAAGCAAAAGCTTGAGTTTTTTGTGATGTTTTCTTAGGAGGTATTTCTTTGAAGTGTTGTATGACTAACTTCCTGGTGAATCCTGTTTCTCTATTCCTTTCTTGTTTGCGTATAAAATATTTTTCCAAAATATTAGTCCAAAACGTGAGTCCCATTTTGTGGTTTTACCAGTATAGATTGTTAAGAAATTATTTTGGATTACTGCTTTTATATAGTCACCATTATTTTGAGTTTTGTTGTTTTAATTCACATATATTTTCAACTGTCTTTGTTACATAAATACCCAAGATTATAGTTTTGGTCATCCCTGACCACTTCAAGTTTTTTTATTCTTTCTGCTAAAAAATAGAAGATTTTTCCTAGTTTATTAATATTATCACAAACCTAAAATACAATATTGTTTGGTTAGGAAATTGGTTGGGGGCTACAGTCAAAGAGAACACTCACATAAAAATAAAATATTTTCATTTTATTTTTTCCCACTTCACCCAATTCAAACATCCATTAGGTGCAGGAGCCCTGATAAAGGCCTACAACTTAGGCCAAAACATCAGCACAAAATAAAATAAAATTTTTTTTCTTCTTCTTATGCCATTAGTTAGCGTCGAGGAGCCTCAATCCAGCATAACCACTCTTCCGGGTCCCTGCTTAGCCGCTTCATCTCACTGAGGGTTTTGCCTCTTTTACATCCAATTCTTTGAATATATTCTTGGTATGTGATTCTGGGGCATCTACGTGGTCTCCTTCCTGTGGGTCGAGCCTCTAATATCTTTATAGGATTCAAGTTCTCATTCATGTGGCAAACATGTCCAAACCACTGGAGTTGCCGTCTTTCTAGAGTGGTTTTAAGTTTGGTAACTCCTAGTTGCTCTCTAATGCTTTCATTCCTAATGTGATCCATCTAGTTCTCCCAACAGGTGATCTCAGCCTCATATTCCTTTGGTTCCTTCATTACAACTATTCTCTGTTACGATCTCTTATTTCTTCTCCTTTAGTTAATTGTCAAATTCTTTCATATTTTATATTTAACTATTTTTTATATTAGTGATCAATGTGAAATGGTTAATTGTTTCAAATAAAAAAAATTAAATGTACTTTAAAGAAAGCTAATATTGAAAATTAGCCATTTAAGCCATCCTTGAGAACATTAATGAGAATAAAAACTGCTTAATTTTACACTGATATAATGAATTTAATCAAAATTGTTGGAGCCATTTTTGAGAAAATAGTAAAAATGTATTTCATCAATGATATAATGTGCCACTTCCAGTTTGCCGATTTTGATGAAAAAGTTGCTGTAACATCTGAGATATATACAAACCTTAAATATGCAATTTCACTTTCATACGACTTTTCGTTTTTGAGCTAGACCTGTCACAGACACACACTCAGACCATTTTGCGTTACTTGGTTATTTGGACTCAGGAGACCTCCGAAGATGTATTTCCATTGAAAACTCAGAATCGAAAATTTTCACTATCGCAATACTGTCCCTTACTATGTATTTCATATATAGGCAAGTGAAAGTAAAAATGGATGAGATAAAATTGTTAGGATTTACAGTCAAAAATTTTTATTATTCTATATTCTTGACTGTAAATCCTTACGATTTTGTTTCATCCTAATAATTGATCAGTCGACTAATTACCCATCTCTAAAATTTAAAAAATGCTTCATAAGCAGCAAGAGGATTTTTTATGAAAATTTGTCATTGATATAAATGATTCAGGAAATACCTTTATTATCATTAATTGCCTTATAATACTGCTGCCTAATTGATGTTAATTTTTAAAACTACTGTTCCCAGTTGATCTATTTATTATATGTGCATATCCTGAGCTTTTTTTTAAAAAATACTAATGGAAATTCTAGTTTTAACTTCAATTTATAAAGTTGAGCATGTTTCTGTTCATTGTGTTTATTCTTCTACTTTTTATTTTTATTTTTTTTAATCATTTATCGGCCACTAAGGACCACGCGAATATCATTGGTTAGTCTCCTTTGGGAGTCTAGATTTTCTTTCTTCCCATCGCAGTTTCATGATTTTCGACTTCATTTCTTTTCTTTCTTCAGATCACTTTGTACCCCTCCTTTTTTCTCTTCCAATATTGGTGAGATTTTTCAGTGTTTTCCTGTATGTGTCTCTATCTAGACAGTCGGCATCTGAAATTTTAACTTTCTTTAATTCCTCTCTTATTTGCTTTGTGTATCCTCCCATGCTTTTGTTCTAAAAATTTTGTTAAAGATCTTTTTGTTCAATCTTTTCTCCTTGTCATGAGCCCATACTTCATTCTAATTCTTATCTTGGTTTCCAGGTTTTTGTAGATCTCTTCTCATGTAACCTTCCTGTGTTTTTCTGGGCCCATAGATTTTTCTTAACATCCTCTTTTCTCTTCTTAGCAGCTTTTCCAAGTTGGGCAGGCATGTGGTCACAATCTCTTATAAAATCACAGGCTTAATCACAACCTTGTAATGCCTTAACTTTGCATTGGAGGAGAGGTTCTTTTTATTGGAAATTTTGCCTGTTTGAAAGCTTAAATTTTCTAATTTTGTGATTTTCTCTCAGATGCTGTCTTTCTCAGAACCGTTGTAGCATATTATTTCCCCCAAATACATAAATTTTCTGGTCACTTTTTTTTTCCATAGTTGGTGTTTATTGTTTTTGTTCTTGAAATTTTTTTCAGTAGTCATGAGCTCTGTTTTTTCCTTTGATATTTGTAGGCCTGCTTTTCCTGCTATTTGTAGGGTATTTATTTGACTAATAGACTCTTCTTCTGATTCTGTCAAAAGTGCGAGATCGCCTGCAAACGCTAAACAACTCACTTTTATATGATTGCTTTTGTTCCCTACTTTGGCTCCTGAGCTATTTTTTTTTTCCAGAATTCCTTCATAATTTCATTATTTTTCTACTTTTTATTTACTGATACTCATCATCTTTTTTTTATTTTCTAGGTGAGTCATTCTGACTTTTGGAAAAGATACTTATTTCGAAAAGCACTGATGCTTGATAGATATGCTGAACAAGACAGGCGAAAGGCTAGAGAACGGCAAGAAGCTGAAAACTTTCCATGGGAGAAAGGTGACAAAGAGAGTACAATTTTAATTTAATTAATAACTGACTTTTTATTATGCCAAGAATAACTTCTATACCCTTTGGCATACTATTGGGTTGCCTGGAAAATAATGGAGGATTATCAATTTTCTTTAAAATAACCCTCTATATAACAAATTGTTCATGTTTACTGGATTATTCATTTGTATGAATGTCAGCATTTATTAATCCTCTTCCAAACGATAATGTTTGTTTATCTCTGCAGCATATTGCTGCTTAGAAATAATTCAGTCTTTAATAAGACATCAACGCGTGATTTTCATATAATTTTGTTTTACGAGTTTAAATTCGGCCGGAATGAGGCCCAGATGGCCAGAAACATCTATCAAGTCTGGGGCGAGAGCAGTATTAATGAGTGCACTGTTGAACAGTGGTTTTAAAAGTTTCGGGAGGGAGACTTCTTGAAGACATTTAGTTCAAAGACATTTAGTTCATTTAGTTCAAAGACATTTAGCTTCTCTTTATGGCAACCTACAGAAACGACAACGCAGTCTTGAGGTTCCTGTAACATGAGCAGTTTTGTGTGTGGTACTACTCTTAAGAAAAGTAGTTGGATGAGTTAGTTCTGGGTATCACTGAAGTAAATTTTTTAATTGATCCAAAAATTAATTCTTTGTATTAAGTGTATGCACATCTAAAAAACCTGTTACATTGAAGTGTGACAGTACTGCGGTGGTTAAGTTTTTTTTCCCATGTATTATACACTTATTCTGTTAATCAACAATTAAATTATGATATTTAAGGAAATCTGCTCCTGTAATAGGATGTGTGACTGGTCAAAATAAATGGCCATTGAAAATGTCTGTGTTTGTCCAAAGATAATGAAATCAACTTTTCATCGTATATAGGTATATGTGTTCCATCCCTCAGTGCTAAAAAGATTATATTTTGAGGGATCTATCTTTTTGTCAGTATGTTAGGCAGGTAAAACAGACACAGCACCTGGGGCAATGAGAAATTTTATTTTTGATGTTGGATTGACAATAAATTATTTATTAACCAAACAAAAATGTGGAACATTAGATTAAATTTGCAATCTGCAAATTTCTTTGCAATAAGCAAATTTTTTAGCAGCTTCACAGCTTCCCATCACGTCCGGGATATAAATCAAATCAGCAGGTCTCTTGGCCAACGCCTACGTAATCGTCGTGGTGGGCTGTACGGGTTTCTTGTACGATGAAGGATTTCTGTCAGAGGATTCATGTTGTACGTCAGTCTTTGGTGAAAGTTAATGTAGTTCTCTTTTGCAGTATCTGAAATTGTAGGTACGTTTAAGTCTTTATGTAGTGTGTCATTTGCGACATAAAAAGGTGCGTCAACTATCCTTCGCAACACTTTTGACTGGACTGAACTTTTTTAATGTTGGAAGTTTTAGCAGAGCCCCACAGTTCTATGCCGTAAGTCCAAGTAGGTTTAAGTTAGTTAGTTTATAAAGGGTTAGTTTGTTAGTTAAAGATAATTTTGAACGTCTGTCAAGTAATCTGGATAAGAGACCGTATCGTCTGTTTAATTGGATTGACAATAAATAGGCTGTTTGTTATGCCCCGAGCACATTCTGCCATTTGTGACTGAATAGTTAGTTTGACGAACCTGATTGCTGGTATTTACATGGTTATTCATATTTCTTATCTCTGTCAGAATATCTGTTGTGATAATAACAAAATCCTGGATTTTTAGAGACACTGCGGTTTCTGAATCGTGACCAAGATTTAAATCTGTTTTGTTTAATGGATGATCTAACTTTTCCGCTCTTTTCTAGAGATTTTTAATCTTAGACTCAACATTGCAAACAGTGTAACTGCATAATTTTCATTTGTCTGCTTAGAAGTAACTTCTATGATTTTATCTGCTAATAATGCTAATTTATCCAAGGATTCATCACCAACTGCTTATACCGTTTGACAAGAAACAGGTAATCGTTTGAACCATAATGATTTTAAAACTTCAGCAGTTATTTTATCGCGTGCCAGGCTTCTCATAACTCTAATAATTGAGGTGGTTTGGAATCACCTAACTCAACTTCATTCAAAAGTTACGTCTTAACTGTCTCTGGTGGAGGATTGATAATATCGCTGTCGAGGTTGGAAATGACATAATTATATTTAGTAAGGTCCTGTGCTATACTGGAAATTTGAAAATTGACTTCTATTTGTGTGAACCATAAGTCAGGCCTATTACACCAGAAAGGTGCTATTTTAACTGCAAACATCCAGGAAAAATGTTTCAAAGATATTCAATTTTGTTTTTAATGATCGTCGTGGTCACCACTATGCTGGAGTATTACTACATAAATAAAAATAACAAATTAATATTCTTTATTTCTGTCATAACATAAATAGATGACACTTATATTTTTACAAACAGTTGTCTGAAATTAAATCAAGCATACATATCTAAGGTTATTTTTCTTATACTTAAATCTGATAATAACAGTTTTGCTGCCACAAACTAAATTAGAGACTGTCAAAGTTTGAGAAACAGGCTAAGCTTAGAGAAGATATCATAGAGTAGAAAACCCTGAAAATGTTGTTCTCTTGTTATGGATAATGGCAGTCAGGCATGATTAGTTGTATTAAGAAATATACATTAACAGGCTAAAGACTTTATACATATTAATACTTACGACTGTCCTACAGCTTTTAGCACTATTAAATTTTCATTTTTATCCTCTACAAATACAAGGAAATACCTAAAATCTATCAAATGTATAGTTACTTAAATCAATGTTTATTAAACTTAAATTTAGTGGAATTATGCGAAATAAACAGTTTTGTTAGATAGAATTATGGGACAGTTATTGGCTGGTCACCATCTCTGGCCAACCTTATTTTTTATTCAAGTATAACCATTAATCAGTGTTTCCTTTGCAGAAAACTTTGCCACTGATATTGAACTGTCTGAAGAGGAACAAATAAAGATTTTATCAGATTATGAAGAAGAGAAAAATCTGAAAAATCAAAAAAAAATTAAGGGTATTTGTTGTATGTTTATTTTTCTTTATGAAAGTAGACTGTATCTCTTAATGTTTATTATTTTCAGATTCCAGCAGTAACAATCATCTTATAGTCAGAGAACGAAATGACTTAGTTATTGTTGGTACAGAAACTCCATCACAAGCTTCAACTTCTAGTAAAGGTATATAAAAGTTTAATAAGAATTTTTAGCATTTGTAATGATATCCATCATTAAATCTTGGGCAACTCTTGATTAGAATATTAATAATGTATAGGAACAGACCTTTTGTTTACTAAATTGTGTATTTAGATATCATTAACTCTATAGTAGAAATCCTTACCAATCATCATCACACCATCCTCAATTGTGATGCTCCTCTTTTAACTAAAACTATCTAACATACTCCGCTTCTTGGCTGACACCCGCTCTGAGAGAATTCATGAGAAGAAGAGATGCTGAAAGACGGCAGTTTAAATGTACCCAACTCCTGAAAGATTATATCGCCTTCAAGCTGCTAAGAAATACGCCATGCCTAATCCCTGTATTTCCATCAATCTTTATCCAACACCTCAAATTCCAAGGTCAAGTGAGCTATCCTCAGAAAACTGATCTTTGGTAACACATCTCAAACCCAGTCCATTTCCTTTTCTGCTGATGACCTTAACGCTCACTTTGTCTCCTGTCCCGTTTTAATCTTGATCACTTCAATTTTTTTAACATTACTCCTGATGACCTCCTTAACTCCATTCAGAAATCCCATGCCAATGATTATAGACCCGATAACATCCCAGTCAGACTGATTAAAGCCTCATTACCATCCATTCTTCCAATCCTCTACCATATCTACAATTACTCACTGCAAAACGCTACCTTTCCTACATCCTGAAAACTGCACTAATTCACCCCTTGAAGATGACTATCAACTCTTAATGATTTACGTCCAATTTCTCTCCTCTCAAACCTTTCCCAACCTTTAGAGCGACTAGTTTAAACCCAGTTACTCCACCCAGTTTTTAGAACAGAATAACCTCCTAAATCACTACCACTCTGGTTTCTGAACTGGCTACTCCACTCAGTTTGCCCTCATCAAAATTTCCTAGGATCTTTATACAGCCATGGACCACCAAAAACTCACCATCCTTATTCTCCTTGACTTCTCCAAGGCCTTCGACTCAGTAGACCACAAATTCCTCCTAACCAAGCTTAAAAATATCTCCTTTTATACTAGTGCCCTTTTATATTTATAGCTTCATTCACAATTGGTAATATTGGCCTATGTCACAGTTCGTTTATTTTTATTTATTTCTATTCTATATCTTATATCATTACTAGATCCAGATTTTTATGTAGTTAACTCACAGAATGTGTCATAATATGCACTGAAAACATTGAAATATATAAATATGCCTTACTTAAAAACAAAAAGGAGGAAAAGTATATAAATGAATTCCGCTAGAGATAATTCTCAATTAAAGGGCTATGGTTTGGAAGTAGAGGAAGTATCCTTCTTTCTACGAGTAATTTCTTCAGTTGGAGTAATTTCAGAGATTCGGTGTTGGAAAGGAACAGATGCAGACCATGGCAGAAACTATTGTTTTGGACTCATTAGGAATCCTGCATCGCTGCTTTGATCTTGGGATTCGCTTATTTGATTCAGTAAACCGTTTTTAGCATATTTGATATGTATTCTAATGGTCCGACCTAACTCTCATTTTTTTTTTTTTTTTAAATATTATCTGTTGATTGATGAGTATGCTGAATAATAACAATTTAGCCACTCTGCACAGTTGAGCAACTGTGCAATGTTATTGTATCTCTCTCTCCCCCCCTTTCCTTCTTACTTTCTTATTTTGTTTATTAATTGTGGATTGATGGTTGACTGTAATGAAGAATTGAAGAGGATGGTTGGGGTCATCAGTCAAAATAAAAAATAGTAAAAATAAATAATTATATTTATTTTTATGTATGCCGACATTTCGCCCTGAAGTTAAGGCCTTCATCAGGGCTAAGAAAAAAACCAAATAACAATAGGTATGAGAAACTATAAACATTGAATAATAAAGAATTAAAATTAAAAATGTGAAAGGTATAGACTAAATAATGTAGGTAGAATAAACTTGAAGTAAAATAAAGTAGATAGAGTGAACATTTAAGTAAACTTAAAGTAGGTAGAATAATAACAATAACAGAGAACTAAGAAATAAATAATAACGGCAACAAAGTACAGACTAATGAAATAAACATAATTAAAATAAGATAAAATAGGAAATGAAAAATGGTAGTTTTAGAATAAAATGTAAAACAGAGAAAAGGAATATGAAGTTATATAAGGAAATAATAGATATAAATAGAAAGTTGAGATATTATAAAATCTATCAAAATATACTGACTACTTGTAAGAGAATATAAAGTTAAAATAATGTAATGTGCAAATGTATCAATATATACAAAAATTGAGATGGAGATATGAAAAACAGAGTGATGGGAAAGAGGAAAAAAAGAGAAAACTAAGATAAGAAAGATAATCAGACCTAGTCAATCGAAGAAGCGTGGAAAGACAAGGTATTGTAACAGGAAAGAGTCGAGCTACCTATCTCCATCTCTATTTTTGTATGTATTGATACATTTGCTCATTACATTATTTTAACTTTATATTCTCTTACAAGTAGACAGTATATTTTGTTAGATTTTATAATATCTCAATTTTCTATTTTTATCTATTATTTCCTTATATAACCTCATATTCCTTTTCTCTGTTTTACATTTTATTCTAGGATTACCATTTTTCATTTCTTATGTTACCTTATTTTGATTATGTTTATTTTATTAGTCCGTATATTGTTGCCATTATTATTTATTTCTTAGTTCTGTTACTGTATTTATTTTATCTACTTTATTTTACTTTAATGTTCACTCTACTTTATTTTACTTTAATTTTATTCTACTTACATTTTTTTGTCTATACCTTTCACATTTTTAATTTTAATTCTTTATTATTCAATGTTTATAGTTTCTCATACCTATTGCTATCTGTTTTTCTCTTATCCCTGATGAAGGCCTGAACTTCAGGGCGAAATGTCAGCAAATATCTATTTTATATATTAATTGTATACATACTAACACCTAGATCATATTAATTTAATAACATTAAAAATAAATTGTATAATTCAAATGTCTGTAAGGAACTGTATTGCCTTAGGCCCTAACACAATAAACGATCTCTCTCTCGGTTTAAACGTCTAAAAAAAAATGCTAAGACAGGCCACCTAGAAAAACTTTTGACAGTCACAAAAAAGTCATATTTTTTAGATCTTTTTTGTTTTTTCACCTATAACATCCGAATGTTGCATCTAAGCAAACAACTTTCTCTCAGAGAAATTAATGAACATTGAATTGTACATCAAATGAGTACTTAAACTTGGTAATTTAGTTAAGCGGTATGGTTGAAAACTATAGTCAACGAATGATGATTTTTTCCAAATTGTCAAAAACTGAAACAAATTACTATAAATAGTTCTGTAGCTTGAAAATGAGTTCTCTAAGAGATAAAAGTTATAGAGCATAAAATTCTGTGACCACTGAGTTATAAAATTGGTTACCTCCTGATGGCTGATAATTGGTTGTGAAGGTTCATTCAATACTTCAACAGTATAGGTGTTTATTCTATTGAGTTTTTCTTGTTTAGAATCCGCTATATGCAGTATTAATCTCTTGTCCATTTCTCAACAATGATGTATTTTAAGAAATGGAATTTCATAAAGAAGAGAGGAATCCCAATTTGAAAGGTGTTACTATAGTGATACTTAGGTTTATTTAGTTTTAGTGGTGAACGAAAATAAATCATTGTTAGTTTACAATGTTTTTTATTGAAATGAATTTTGTTAAGTCATTTTCTGTTTTAAATTATGTAGTTCCAAATAAATTATAGTTATATTTATATTTAATTTTATTTATTTATTAAAGTTGTTGACACGTTAACTGCCGAAGATATCTTGCGATTAGTGTGCTTATGACATCTAATATAAGTTATATCTTAGTTTGTTTACTTGACATGTTTGTGCAGTCATGGTGAAATTTGTAATATCGGCTTAAATATGAATAGATAGCCTTAGGGAAAATTATAAAATCAAGTTTGGGTTTCTTGGACTCAAAATTATTTTTTTATTATAAGCGTGTGCCTGTGGTGAAAATGAGTAAACTACAAAATTATTCACTACATCTTTTATTTAAAAAAAAATAACATTCTATGTTTCTTGCAGATGATTACTATGTACTATAATTCGACTAAAATAATTAAAATGACTTTATATACCAGAATCCTAAAATGTGTCATGTCAGTCAATGTGTTAACCTATGTTTGAATATTTTAAGACGCTCAACAATTAAATATTACTTTCCTTTTAGGCCATTCAGAAGCTTAATGGGTGTGTTAGTTCACTGAGGCGTTTATTTGTTTTAATAATATTCATCAACAGTTTTGAAACCCTACTATTATGCAACATCATTTTTTGACTGAAATTTGTTTGATTACAATATATTATTTTTCGTTTTTAATTTCAAAGAATTGTTATTATAAAATGATGAAATGATAACGGTGAATTTTTTTATAGAGAGCACAGATGGTGACTGGGAAAAAGAATTTGAAATTGAAGACAACGAAGAACGAAATGAAGGTTCTGACATAACTAAACCAATAATATCTTAAAAATATGTTATCACATTTGTTTTATATCTGTTTGTAAATATATATATATACATATACATAAATAAGAGGGTTTTTTATATTTTTATTTTGGGACCTTATTTTGTATTTTTGATTTTCAATGTGTTTTAATTATAATTTATATAATAATGATTCCCAACCAGGATTCACCTCAGAAGTTCTTTTTATAATTACAATCTGTGAAATTTAACATATATATTGAAGTAAAAACTTCATAAGGAAATGAATAGAATTTTGAATGGTTTCTGTAATCATATATTAAAAGTGTTATGTACAATTGTATATTTAAAATCAATACATACTATGAATAAATTCACATATTGTCTTCCTTTTGGCAATAATATTTTCCAAAATAATTTGTTTTGTTTTTCTTAAAATTTAGTATGATTATTTTTAAAAATTGCATTCCCTTTGAGGAGAATATTGATCCTCAATTAAAGCTGTATATTTTATAAAATGTAGTTTCTATAACTTTTTTAATTCAACAAATATTTCCTTCATTTTGATACTTCCAGGATTAAAAAACATTGGATAGGATTTAATTTAATAAAAAAAAAACTTTATTGTGTAAATAATTAAGATTTATATTTTGAGAATGTTTAATAAAATTGTTTTCTTAAGCAGCTGTTTGATTGATTATTTTAGAATCCCTGTATTTATTATCAATTTTTTTCTTTTTTCATAAATAGTATTTTTAGTCTAATTTAATCTGTAGGCATATGGTACAGTAAAACATTATGTAATGAGAGGTGTAGAAATAGATTTCAGGATTAATTGGTCAAAGTGATTGAAAAACAAAGTAATGAGTTATTTTATTCAATGTAAATTGGTGCGTACCAGGGTCTTTTTTTTTTCATTTGCCACTCAAAACCTTCGAAACCTCCCTTGTTATCTAATATTATATCACATAATCTCCCTTATTCTTATCTCTTCTAGCCTAACTTAATCCATTGTTTATTTTTTGTTCCTCGTTTAAGCTGTGAGTTATGTTATTTTTGTAAAATTATGAATGTTGTAACATTGTTCGAATTGCCATCTTCAGAAGAAGAGGCTATCAAATATTTTCAAGACACCAGGATAATTGCAAAGGTGAAATTTTGTGATGGTCATGAAATGGAGTTGGACGGGAAGACGAAATGGAGATGCTTTCGTACTTGTAACAAAAACGTTTCTATAAGGAAAGGAACGTGGTTAGAGGGGTCGAGGACTTCTTTTTTAATGGCTTTAAAATTCATTTATGGGTAGTCCCATAATTTAACAACAATACAGTGGGGAAAAGAGCAGCTGAAACTATCCCAGCCAACTATGGTAACGTGGAACACATTTTTAAGAGAGGTTTGTTAAAAAAAATCTATATACAGAATACGTAAAACTATGATAAAACACTTAAGACTATGTACAGTGGAAAAAATTATAATTATACTCTTTTGAAAAATAAAATAATAAAAAATACATTGAGTTCTTTAAAATGAGGTGTGTTTCTGCTAACAAAGAAAAGACAAAGCTGACAATATAAAATATCAGTGTCTTTAAATAATGATTAATATGTAGACTCATCATTGTCAAATGCTAGAGGTACAGATTTAATTATATACCAATAAAAAATAATAATAAAAATAAAAAAACAAACAATAGATGCGGTCAGTGGCATTAAGAGCCAGAAGATATTTTAATATCCCTAGTGAAGTTCACAGTATAGAATAGCACTATCGTTTGATGATGACTAGAAATGTATAATATCGAAAGTTTAGCAAGTATTTGACTTTTTTTGGGATAGGAATTGGAATAGGAGGAATTTGAATGTGGATATGGAGGGGGAATGCCGAAGTTTGATAGGTAGAGAATTCCAGAGATTGACAGCGCGAGCTATAAAGGAATTCTGAAATGAGGCAGATCTGTGCGAAGGGATGTAGAGGTCAGAAGGTCGAGATCTTGTTGAAAGGAAATGGACTGAGGACTTGAATTGGAGAAGGTTGTAGGCGTAAGAAGAACGATGGTTGTTAATGATTTGATAGAGGAACGTACCTAGGAAATATTGTCTTCTAAAGGAGGGGAAGACCCACCTTAACTCAGTGTAGTGGTGAGAGACATGGGAGTACCTCGGGGCACCGATAACAAATCTTACGCAGCTATTCATTAATCTTTTCAGTCTATCACGGAGATCCACCGAGAGGCCATCATACACCACACAGCTGTAGTCAAAGTGGGGAAAGATGAGAGAAGAAATTAGGAGTCTACGGGTACGTTGAGGTAGGAGATGGCGGAAGCAATGAAATAATTTAAGGGTAGAAATTGTCCTACGGTAAATGTGAGAAATATGGTAGTTCCAGGAGAGGGTTTAATCTATGAAAAATCCTAAATTTTTAACAGAGGAGTAGAAGGAAATTGGCTGGTCATTAAGGTGTAATATGGGAAAGTCAGTATGGGATCTAATAAGGGGCTTAGAACGCCCCTGTGTTAGATGATAAGTCTTTTTACTGCTTGCGATTCTTAATGATGTAAATTGCAAACATCTGGGATTGCACCAGTCTTTCAAGAGGCTTTGAGAGGTTAGAAAAAATTGAAAGTGGACGAAAATCTTCGGGTGAGGATGGATTAGACTTTTTATTTAAAGGAAGAATAATGGTTTTTTTCCAAGAGGTAGGGAATACTGAATTCTGAAGGGAGAAATTATAGATAAAAAGGAGAGCTGGGAGGATTTCAGGGAGACATATTTTTATTAATTTGACAGGGATGCCGTCTGGCCTTATGGAATTGGTGTGGGATTTCATTACCGCGGTTAACAGGTCTGTGGAAGAAATGTCGGAAAAATAAAAGTTATTGTCATTAAAGGATCTGGAGAAAAGCCGGAAGAGGAAGGTAGAGAAAAGGTATTACCGACAGATATAATATAAGAGTTTAAATCATCGGAGGATACAGGAAAGGCTGCGGTAGGGAATCTGGAAGGATTACAAATGGAAAGTTTACGAAGCAGTAGCCATTTCGATTTGATATCAGGAGCTGAGGAAAGGGTTTTATGGAAGTAGGAAGCTTCGCACGCCGGATCCTTGTCTGTGCCAAGTTGTGAAGCACCCTAACGCTTGGTAGTCATCTGCAAGCCTAGTACGTCTAAAACGTCTTCTTGCAATTGTTTCTTTTATATGTACATATGTTTTGTTTAAGTGTTTTTTTTATTATTTCATTTATTTTTGTCAATTTTTTGCCTCTTTTTATTATTTCATTTATATATATATATATATATAGATATATATTGTAATGTTTTTACATTATGTATGTATAATGTTTTGGTCTGTTTAATATATATCTTGTAAAATAAAATTATTTTTTTATTATTACATTTGTTTTTGTTTACTTTACAATTTCAATAATATGAATATAATACAATAAATATGAATATGAAGATATAATCAGTGCCTCATCAGAGTTATGAGTGTTAAAGTTATAAACAATGGCAGATAGCAGTAGGACCTGACCAGCTATTTAACAAGTACCCAGAATTTTTATATATTCAATATGTAGCAATATGAAAATTCTGAAGAAAAAGTATTTGAAAATATTTTTATTTTATTTATTTATTTATATGATATTTACAGCTGCATACAAAAAATACATCTAGTAAATTCGCACATAGATATAATGACATTGAAACACATGTTGAGAAACTACCCATTGGTAGCACTCTAATAATATGTCTATATTAGGAGATCACGTGGCCATCTTCTTTTCAGACGTTTCGGAGTATTATCAAGAATTGAATAGGAAGCAAGGTTAGAAACAAGAGGGTTGGGATGGTTATGAAGTTTATTATGAAAAGACAGATATCTGGATTGGGCCAAATCTGATACATAAGGAACATTAAGGTCCTTATGGATGATTTTATTTGTAATAAAGTAAGGAGCATTGAGGATTTTACGAAGGATTTTGGATTGTAAGGATTGGAGACGAGGGGAATTTGAAAGTTTGGTGGAGCACCATAGCTCAAATCCGTAAGTCCTAATAGGCCTTATTATAGTCATGTAAATGAGTCTTTTATAATTAATTGGAAACTTAGAGCGTTTGTCTAGTAAGTGTTGAAGTAGTCGGAAACGTCGAGCTGTTTCTTGTCGTTTCAGTCTGATATGAGGATTCCAAGTTAGACGTTTGTCCAGATGGAGTCCTTGGTAATATTGAAAATATTAAAAAAAAAAAAACTTGCACCACTATAATCCATGAAGGGTCTTGGGTTCAGTACTATGTAGGGAAGGCACTGTTTCTTGGTCAATGGTTGTACAAGGAGGTGATTTGACCGAGATCACGCTTAACCACGGGCGGATCTACGGGGGGGGGGGCTTTCGGGCTAAAGCCCCCCCCCAAAATGGTAAAATATAACCATGTTTTATGGAAAAATATATTAAAAAATTGATTGAATCCTTATTTCAATCCTTCGTATCGCGCTTTATTGCTGGAGGAGACTACAATGGTAAACACCAACGATGGGATTGTCGATCATCCAACTCCCGTGGTAACATACTATCTTCTGTCTCAACTTCCAATAGTTGCTCTGTCCTCTCTCCTATGAATCCTACCTATTGGCCAACATCCCTCAAAAAACGCCCTGATATCCTGGACATATTTGTCACCTCCCAAATTTCCTCTTCCCATGCCACAATCAAATCCCTGGATGACCTCTCCTCAGATCATTCTCCAGTTCTGGTTTCATTACAGCCAACGTTCGCTCCTAATCCCTCCTCCTCTCCTACACTGATTACAGGACGAGTAAACTGGGACAAATTTCGTAAAGACCTGGAAAATAAATTGGACCAAAATATTCCACTTAAGACGAAACGTGACATTGACACAGCCATAGAAGTACTTACTACATCTATAAGTGACAAAATAAATGATAATATATCTACCATTAAAACTGACAACTACCAACAGACAAATTTGCCGCAGCATATTCGTATCTTATTAAGGGAAAAACGCAGAGCAAGATCGAAGTG